CTCGTTCTATAGCGTGACAAACGCTATATACGCCAGAACGCGGTGCGATATTGTCGTGGAAGTGCTTCAAAGATTTCGAGTACACGGTATTCACGTAACAGATGAACTCTCTTTCTCTCGATACGCGCGCACGTATGCGCGTCGTGCAAAATGCAGGAGACCAGCCCGACGCGTTTGCATTTCCGCATCTACGGTTATGAAATATTTTTGTACTTCACATTTCGCCAGATTTTATTCGACCGACGCGCTGGAACTTTGAAAGTACAAGAGGGTAGCGCGGTGAAACACAGTGATATACTGATTGTCCGTAACAGTCAGGAAGGCGAGTGCGCGTCGACGCGGGGAATAATTTACGAGTACCAGTGTTACATCCGGAATCAGCCGTATCGGCGAGCTGCGACGGTTATTAAGCAACGTTGGCGTGCGCCAACGTGAAGCGCCGGCGGAAACGTAAGTCACGGTATAAGAGCAAACTTCTTTTATGTTACAATTTCTCGTGGATGAAACTCGCATCGCAGATGAATGGTGAGCATGCACGAACGGCTCCAAGTCCCTTCTCTCGGCTCGTTTCGTTTCCTTTTAAAAGAGAGCTAGACACGCCCGGAAGATTTACTGAAAGGATGAATACGGACGATTAACCAGTGAACTTCCTGCATTTCCGTACGCCTCTTTTTACTCGTATTTCGCACAGGTTCGATCGATTTCGACTGAGAACGACTCGCGCGACGCTTCGCCGACGCGACTTCGCCTCCGTTACAACTGTTGCCCGAATAAATAATTTCCATGCGCGCTTCGCAAACCGCGCGTACAACTTTCAGCTTTGCGAACGTCAACGTATATGTTTTTCTCCCGCCGACAGAATCCGTCGGCAAAGCCGGAGGATGTATATCGAATAAACGAGTGTCGATGCTTGCCTCCAATTTGCCATGTTCGCTCACTCGCGACTGACCGTTGCTTGAAATAACGGCGAATTTTCTAGCATTTTAAACGAAATTTTCATTGGCAGCTGTACATCTCTGCACGCGTCGTAATGTTTTCCACCGGTTACTCTCGTCGTAAGATAAATATTAACTACCCATTGCACGCGGAAGAGAGAACTAGGTCGAGTGCGATAGTCGAAAGTTGCATTTTCACATAGTTCTTTTCTGCGTTTTGGAGGACTCGCGTGTTGCCAACTTTATGGCATGCGCGCATGGGCGAAACTAAAAGAAATAGCGAGAAACTGACTGAACATTCCATTTGAGCCGGATTCAAACGATGTGACCAACAGTTAGATAAATATGAAAAAATTCGCCACACGGAAACACATAAAGCGCCATTTGTATCCGCAATGTTCGAGATGTCAAAATCAAGCAGCGCGATCTATCCTCGCAACGTTAATTAATTAATAAAAGCGATTTATTCGAGCATCGTTTAGACGCCGACGACGGTGTCCTTTGTCAATCCGGATATCCCGAAGAGCAGAGGGAACGTAAGCAGAGAACACAATTTATCGTAATGAACCTTTCACAACAATGAACTCTCCACCCTTATTTATCCATCCAAATTAACGGACGTTAATTAGGTCAGGCAGCGCAGTTTGATCGAGGAAACTTTCCGTTGTCAATTAATCACTGTCTACGCTACTTATTACTTTCACTTAAAGGTTCTGCAGAGATTCCGAGTTTATTTATGCATGAGGTACTTTGTTACGTAAGGCTACTCCAGATTGAATGAATCGTCTATCACGTGCGAGGTTATCGACCGATTTGACGTCGAATTTTGATCAACGATACACCAAGAAAATTTATCGTCCGTAATCATCTGCATCGAGTTTCCGAGTTTTCAATATATTATGCGACACTTTTGCGAGTAACCCTCGCAAGATTTGAATCTGCCGAGACAGAGTTAACTTTAATGTATATGCGTGCGTGAATGAGAAATAAACCCTTACCATTCGTACTGCTAAATTTTATACTTTTGCGTTTATTATTATTCTACTAGTCTTTCTGTAGAATTGTCTATATGTACAATCAAGTCGCGATAACATCGCCATAAGGAACGGATCGATGCAGTTACAACAGTGCGATACGAGACAAGCCGTTTGTATTAGAATTCAAAGGGATGATGTGAATTATCTCTCCTCGCTACTTCGCCAGTTATATCCGTATGTTCCCTTTATCTTTGTATCCGCTTTCGCGTTCCCGCTGTCTAAACGTCCTACGTGTTGTGCGGCGCATGGGCGTCTCGGGGGCATTCAAGGCGAGAAATCCAATTTCAATGAAAAGGCGGAACAAGAGGTTACGACGCGAGACAAATATCGCGTTTCAGGCGTTACAGGACCGCATGTTATGTATGTGTTGCTTGCGTAAATTGCTGAATCGTCTCTTTATTCGAGAGAATTTAACCGATTTATCGCGAAAACGGGAGAGGAAGGAAAAGCATCACCGTGGAATTCAGCTTGTCTTCTTGCCGTCGGATATTAACGGATGCTGTTGTTCGCTTGGCGAATCAAGACGTCCTTCAAGGCGGTATGTAAAAAAGCTTTCGAATATTTGGTTTTTCCAATTAAATTGCGGCTGCACGGTTAACAAGCAGAATCAATATTACATGTATGATTAAAATCATGGAAATGACATTTGTTTCTGCAAAATTGCAAATAACACATTTTTCTCTTGCAATATTTTCCAATCTCACATTCGTTAGTACAGTGAAGCGAAGTACCGATAATTTACATTGGTCATCCATATTTAACAGCGAATTCAACTGACTAGCAATAAGCGCTTCCACCCCGGGCACATTAATTAACAACTATATTAAATACACGGATTTCATTGCTACTTGCCATTCATGGAGACCACATCAGAAATTTGGTAGTTATTTCACGATAAAATGGTACAAGTGCATATTCACTTCATCGTTATTGACGAAATGAATATATATTTACATGTGCATTTCTTTTCGGATTTTTTCGGAAATACTTTCCCGTGGCATGAGAAGTTTCAAATAAAATTACTGATTGATGTTTTAATAAGAAATAATTTAACGCTTTGTAATTATTGCTCTATCAATGCAGGAATATCGGTCTAAATTACTACATAAAGTTAAATTATTTCTCTTTCATACGTATATAACCGAAGCATAATCTCTCGCGAAACTCAATCAGATATATTGACATATTCGAAATAATTACTGTTTCAATAATTTAATGTCAAAATTATTGATTTTCTGCAAAGTGATGGAATGCTATAAATTTGCAGCAATCTTCGTCGCTAATCTAATCGAAAGGTTTTTAATTTTCGAAAGCTAGAAGACAAGCAAATTCTAATAATGGCTTTGCATAACAATTTGAATAATAATTAATGTATAAATACACATGTACGTAAGTTGCGATATAATCAACATTTGAGTTAAACGATGCATCACCACTCGGCGCTTAATAATCAAGATATTCAATTGTTCTTTCAAGGTAACTATCGAATAGAGCGGACCTTTAAACTTTGTGTGTGATTTTAATTAACGTATTGCTGAAAAACATATTCTACATTTAATAAGACACCTCGTTTATCTAAACGAGATGTTATAAGGTAAGTATACCAGTTAGTCAAGATGCTTTTATCGAGCAGCTCATCGGAGTCTCATTAGTAACATGATAACGGATGTTCGTGCATTATGAGTCCGTAATCTGATGTGCTAAGTAGCTGACGTGTCTCTATTACCCTATGGTTACAAGAAGAACACCACTAGTGCCACTTGCAACTTCTCCAGGCTGGTATTGCGTTACGTGATTGAGTTTCGCAAATTGCCTACAAACACGATAACGCGTTATGATACCGGCGAATTACGCGGTGTTCTCCGGGATTTTACATTTCGCTTGAAATGTATTTTTGCGTGTGAACAATTTAACAAAACATACGTTGTATTTACCGTAATATTACGGGATATCAAAAATCATTGTGAAGTGTCACTCGAGAAATGTACGATTGATCGTTTTTGCATTAATCGAAATTCACCTCTTTACCAAGATTCATTCTTTATCGTCATAAAATATATATATATGAGTCATGTGAGTCTGTTTTTCGCGCGAAGTAATATTGGTTGGTGAAAATGTCTTTACCCGACAAAGAAAGTGGGAAATATGCGAAGAAAGTGGGAACAGCGCAAGAAAAGAATAGGTGAAATCGCCGTAGTCGAAAGAGTATTTCGCGACCCACGCGTGCCCCAAGGCGTTTCCCGAGTGCAATAATTATCGTCGGAGACGCCGCCGACGAACGTAGTCCGCGACGAAACTTTCAGAAAAGTTAGGTTTGAGAAGCGGCTCTCAGGTACGCCAAAGTTTCCGGCAAAACGAGGGGAGGGGACGGAACAATCTTTGGGAAGTGTCGGGACAAAATATCAAGCCACGCGTCTAGTCCGGCGCCCTCGTGCTTGACAAACTTTTCTTCGCTCGATACAGAATGATTCAGCTTCGAGAGAAGTAGGAAATGATATTTCAATATTGCGACGTCAAATCGATGCAGCACGGCGGAAGAGGATGAATAAATAATACCGGGCGAATCGAGACGCATACGTGAACAAAATACATCCATTTTCTTTTGAGTGCCGCGAAGAAGAGCACGCTGCCTTCAGTTTCAGGCTCGAATTCGTATCTTCAGGTGTAACTTCGAAATAGCGTAAGTTAAACACACGTTCAATCCAACGCGTTCAACGGTGTGTTTAACGACGTATGAAATAATTAAATTACCTTATTCCGCTACATATATAAACCAAGTCACGCACTATGTTATATTTGTAAAAACGCGTGCATTGTTCCTACGGAACAGCCCCGCTGTGCTGCTACCCGCGTGCTCTCTCAATATTTAACTTAAAATTTAACTTAAAAAGATATTAAATAATGTAACCTCTCTCTTGTGATTTTACCGCCTCGTCGGGTCGTTTCGTGGCATATAACGATCAAGAGCGACACCGAAACGTGCAAAGCGAGACGACTCTTGAAGCAAAATGACAAGTAGTAAACTCACCGATTTTGACGACAGAAGGCAGCGCGTAGAGTACTGACGGCAGCTGGAGCAGCTGAAGGACGAAGACACAGGCTACCAGGCAACCCAGATTCATAGCTCATCTCGAAAACCCACCGCCGCGGCCTCTCGGTGGCCCTTCACACGAACACTACCGCACGAACTATGTTTACGATGGATATGCCTCGACACACTTCACACGCATTTACCTAAACACAAAACATAACGTCAACCCGAGAGAGCTCGCAATGACGGCCGCTCTAGCAGCGATTAAAATAAATCTTAATTCTAACCGGAGTGTCGTTTACACACTCGACGCTCACCACCTGGCCCGACCGCGAGCCTCCAAATCTCTATTCCGAAATTAAACTCAAATGTGTTCGATAAACGCGTAAACAAACGTAAGAAAATTATATATTCTGTGTGGAACGCATCTTGAGCCGCGAATTGCAGCCGCGTTCTTCCTCCAAGAGAAATTAATTTTTTACGCAGCATGTTAATTAAAAGTCTACGTTGAAATACCGGCCTGCAGCAGGATATCCGCCGTGCTCGTCCCGCTCGCCGCGCACAAAATTCATAAAGGTCGGACACGTCCTACCGCGCACGAAGCGTATTTTTCAATTTACGACCGGCGAGATCTCGTGGACTTTGCGACTAGCCGAAAAATTACCATTCTGTGTAAACGTTTGTCGCCCAAAGTCCGATTCAGCAGTTACCATCGCCTTGCTCTCGAGATGCCTCGTACACGAGACGCTCTCCCCTGAACCCTGAAGCGCCGCCCGCTGAGAAATTTGCATATCGCGTATATATATCGCAGGTATCGCTCGTGAATCTCACGGTAATGGAAAGTATAACGTTACTCGCATCACTTTATGTACAAATTTGGACAACGGTCAACATTGAAGGATTCACGACTAAGCTCGTGTGACTTGACGCCTCTCGCAAACGTCATCGCGCATGTAATTCAATATTTCGCGCGAAAAATATGACGATTTATTTTAACCGAATCTTGCGGTTAATCTCGATCATATGTTTTGTCGGATTATAAAAGAGAAAAGTGACGTACAATTTGTGCGCTATCAAATGTGAGTGCTAGTACAAGAGAATTCTTACGATATTTCAACGATGTTTCACCTTCATTGTTATTATCAATATTCATTGCATTATTCATTAAATTCGTAACATATTAAATTCATAACGTTTACACACGTGTTGTTTGAAAGGGATTGAAAACTTCCGAGCTTATATACAATCAAACATTTATAAATATTGCACCTTAGTATATAGCCCCTGAAATATTTCATATTTATTTAAAGACTAATTTACATGACTAAACAGCGCAAGCATTTAATATATATAGCGTAGCGTGCGAGCTTTATACCACTGTGTGGTACAAAATAAAACGTATGAGTATACACATAAAACATGATAAACATTCATAAAATCCCGTATTTGTTTGTGAGAGGAAAAACTTTTTAGTGCAAAACGCGAATCACGTGGCATGTGCATTTCGTCCCGAATATTTGGAGTTAATTCTCATTTTGCGAACATATCTCCATAATTTAACTTAATTAAACTAACCTTATTAATAATTAAACTTGACCAATTTGCACACATAAGTGGGTGAGTGGAAAGAGAAAGGAAAACGTTATTTTTTAATTATATTAAACACACCAGCAGCACAACGAAACAGAATTATTAGGTGTGACGGCTGTATTTTCCATAATACCGCGCACTAATTCAAAGTATTAGTTATTTAACTTTTACTACGGCTCCAGAGGATCGGAGAAGTCTAGGCTCGCTCTCGGAGCAGGTTTTCAATTTACGTCAACTAAACTAACACTCACTCCTCTCCGAGGATATACATCTTTTATGCTTCGCGGGCAAACAAAACGACAACCGCGCGCATTATTCAACAAACTTTGCATTCCATCCTCACTTAGGCGTTTCTTGCTCTCCGTTATTGTCTTATAAATCGATAAAATTACGAAATAACCGAGCTGTGCTTTTGCGGCGGCGGTGACGGCGCGCCAGCGCTTGCCAGCCAACGTCCGCATTATTTGATTTTAATTCAATGTCACGATTTCTTCGCGAAACGGGAACAGTTTGCGGAACTTGCGCGCGACTCGTTTCCACAACAGCGCTGCGGCGGTTTAGAAGGAACAATGGTACGACTTTTAGTTTCGCGGCGATTCGATGTCGCGCGTTCTCGCCGCATCGCCGGCGAATCGCGCGCGCAGACTTGCTGGCGACGTCGACGACGACGATGACTTTGGCGGATCCCACGTATTCGCGCGCCGACGATCCTTTCGCCCGACTTTATGAGGAGAGGAATGCGTTTCTTACTCCCATTTTCCGGCGCAGACTTATGGCCTGAGTAATTGCCACTCTTTTATTCGAGCCGCGCCGAGCTTTACAATGTCGCGAGAAGAAGGGAAACGTTGTACGGCGAGTAATAATCCCCCGGAGAAGTCCACGGTGTACGTGTTGCGGTGAGTAATTCTTTCGCTAGCAGAGACGAAGAATTCGGTACGTACGAAGCTCGTTTCAATTTCTCAGATGTAATTAATTTAAAACTCCCGGCTAAGACTTTTCGGCCAAGAGTTACATCTTTCCTTTCGTCGTTGTCGTAAATTACTTTCTGTCCCTTTTTACGTTTATGCCTCTCACGCTAATGTTGCATGCTTACTTGAAAGCTTACGCTCGTGGAGCTTACGAAAATAAAGTCGCGAAAGAAAGATATGACGCGCCGAAAAGCATGAGTCTCTCACGCGAGAGACGCGAGAAATCCAGAATGAGGAATTAAACGTTATCGTAATTAAAGCACCGCGGGAATTAATTCGCGCACGTGCGAAAATCCTCCTCGCGTAGTCGCGTAGGAATCGCGACGTAACGTAATAATTTGTAATCTCGCAATTAGAACGTCGCGGGACGAAAGCCCGCCTACATCTGGAGAGAAGGTATATATCCGATCCTCCTTTTCGACTTTACCCTCCCTTTCACCGGTGGAAAATCCCTTTGAAGACGGAAAGGAGAGAACGTAGAAGCGAGGGGGCTGTTAAACGAAATTCTTCCGAATCGTTCTACGTCGCGTCCAGGTTGCCTTAATCGCGCCGCTTTATTCGGTGATAATTCGTCGTGACCGTGGAAACGCCTTAATAGCATAAGAGAAGCGCCGCACGGAAGTGCGCGCTGGAGCCATGAAAATGGCGATGAGGAGGGCGAAAAGTCAGCGAGTGGAACGGCTCAACGGTAGAGAGAAAGAGAGAAAAAAAAAGGAGAGAGAGAGAGAGAGAGACGGAAGGAAGGAAGGAGAGAAAAAGAGAAAGATAGGGAGGCAAGGGACCAGTATTTTAAATACATATATATGTTTATATATATATATATATATATATATCTCTCTTCCTCTCTACCTTTTCGCACTTTGCCTCTCTGTTGACCGCCTACAGCCTTTTGTGATTTACTACCGTACTAAAACATCTTCGCGATATCGCGTCGTGCCGACCCTCCGAGAAGAAAATAGGAGGAAAGCGGCTCGCGCTAGTGAATCTCTTTTCCGGAATTCTCGTTAACACGATCGTTTTCTTCGCCTCCGACACGTGGGCCGACACGTTCGAGAGAATGGAGAAACGCTTACCAAGCGAGTTTCTCCTCTTCTCTTTTTTTAAACATTTCCTCCGTTCGTTCCTCATTTTAGAGCGAATTCGAGTCTGTCGATTCATTATGCCGCCGGATAATAGACGATCGACTGCAACGTTCGTCGAGCCTACCTCGATACCTCTGATACCTCGCGCGGTCTATCAGAAGAACGTGATTTTCGCTTATACGGGCGAACTTGCAGGCGATCCGATAACCGGGAGGACGGTATTTGTGTACGGTATCGAGTGAATCTGATAGTGGTATATGTCCGAAAACCGCCCGCATATGAAACCCACGCGATTCCGCGGATTTTTAAAGCGGCACGATCTAGACGGAGATACGATAAAAAGTCGATAAAGGGCGCCCTCGATCCTCTCTGTTGGTTCTGTCTCGACACACTGTCGTTCAGTGTCCTTTTCTCGATTTTCTCGATTCAGTGCTCGGTTCTGCGGATATCGGTATCGTAACTTCGTCCGGTCATTTCAAGGCGCGATGCAGTGAAATTTAATCGTTCGGGCCGCCATCAGCGAGAGCGAGTGAGCAAAGCTAACTCGGAAGCATACTCCGCTCCGATCTACTCACTCGCGTTCGAACACCGCGAAAAATAGATCCTCTCTTATTTCGGAGAATGGAAACTTAAGGGCAATGCTTGTCCGCAGCGTGTATAAACAGTCCTTTCGACACGAACGACTTGAACCTGCTGCTATCATTGGTGTTTCCATAGTTAGTTTTCGAAATTTTAGTAACGAGCAGTTAGAACATCATCAGTAGATGATGTTAGAACATCATTACGTCGCAATCAGCCAAATCGCAATCGCATTATCGATATTAATAAATCATATTGTCAATATGTGCGGTTGACAGGTTTGATGTCGCAAAATGTTTAATCATGCATAACTTGTTTCCAAATATCATCAAATAATCGGGATTATCTACAACTAGTAAATCGCGTCCTGCATCAAAATCCCTTTGTATCAGGACCTCTTTGACTTTATTATTTAAATATAAATATAATCGTATGATCTGATTTCATTTGCACTGTAATTTCATTACAGCCACAACGAACTGCATATATTAAATTTGAGCTTTCATCTTCATCGATTTTATGGTCGCTTTATTGTCGGAGAAACTGATAAACAAAAGTAGAAAATCGCTGTCAAACATAGCAATAATATGCAAGTCCTTTGTTAAACACAAAGGATATAAATAATCCATTTTTCACAGCAATACAGTTATAGCTACAATTATACTAATAAATTTAAGAAATGATAAATAGAACGTAATGTCAGTAGCTGCTTGTCGCGCGATTTATTATTATATTTACGTGTCCGCATTTCGACTACATTTAACATCCCGTGTGCGAAAAGAGCCGAATGGTCATTTCTAAAATTATTATTGTTACCCGAATCTCGTATAGAGCTATAAATTTTAGTTAACTCCGCTATGCACGATGATAAAACGTATTTATTCAATGCCGCGCCGATAGAGCATCGATACGAGTTATATGCATTGAATAATAATGCTCATTCGCGACGGTAAAATTCTATCCTCAAAAAATATTTTATCGCGTTGACGCACTATATAAGCATAACTTTAATCTCACATCTACAACATGTGCGTCGAACATTTCTAAAGTTCTAATTTATTGAAGCTCGTGAGGAATAATCTATCGAAAGCACTTTAATGTATATTAATTAAATCATAGCTTTCAAGTCTCGTACGAGTAATCGAAAATTCATAACTCCGTTAATGGTACAAATTACTCGTCGCTCTGCATTAATTTACTTTAGCTGTAATCTCAATTTCCTTTCACGCATGCAATCGCGCATTAAAGCAATTAGACAATCTGCACAGGGAATACGAAGCATTGCGCGAGTTTACTCTTGCAATTGAGATATTTCAACATTTCCGGAATTTCATAAACACATTGTCGAAACTAACCGGCCAGTCGACTGTATTTAGTGCATTTGCAATAGTTTATTATAGTATAAATATATTAGTACGAGCGGTAGGAAAGCAAATGTAATAGAAAGCTTTTTCACAGAAAGACAAATTTTCAGTGATTTTTTCTATCACACATACACACACATGCTTATTTGTGTGCTGAATATAAAAAATTAATATTTGATATATATATATATATATATTACATTTATTTTCTGTAGATATATATAATTAACAACTAATTGTAATAATCATGTAAAAATGAATAGAAAGTCGAAAAGAGACGTCTTATTATTTACATCGACTGCGAGTATGGCAAGAGAAAAACGAGAAGAAAGTTATTGGAAGGCTCGTTCTACTGACAAGTCACGTGGCAGACAGTAAAGTCTAAACTACGAGAACAATTCGTCTCGGCTCGAGAGGCAGTTATCGATTTCGCCAACAAACCGTACACAACCGCATCGTGACACGAAGTTCGGATAGCACATTGGAATAAGTGATTGAGAACGTGCATCGTTTGCGTCGATTGTGTAATTAACCAAGTGTGCTGTTGTAGAAAAAAATATAAAAGAATAATTAAAAAAATATCACTCTTTTGCAATGACTCACGCATACGTGTATGCGAGTCTTTTGGTTCAAATTTCGCGTACAGCAATCTGAAGATTATCATTATCGTAAGAAACTGTCACCCCTCATTCCTCCAGAGAATATTATTTACGTAACATATATACACACAATCTTTTAAAAGTAAGGTATTTCAATAAGCACGGAGAAAAGGCACAATATGTACATCGTGATATCGTCTCGAACGAATTTTAAAGTAAACGTTTCCTCTCCAGTCGAGAAAGATTCCAACTTTTCACGATTCGCTTCCGTATCCGGCATTCTATTAATTTAACTCCAAATGAAAGAATCCATTGAATTAAGAATGATGTCATACTGAGACTCACTACAATCGGGATCTTAATCGACAGGTTAACCGACCGACGAAGGTTAACAAATGGTTGTTCACTGACCGGGTTTCGCCGAAGCCGTCAGGTGCGTTAATGCAATCCGCTGTCAGGGAGAGCTCGTGGATTCCTTGAAATATCATGAAGCCGACGTTCCCAAGAGCACGCGGACGCGTCGTTTTTAAAGAGATCAACGTGTAAAGACATGCGTCGTCTTGGCGGTGCACGTAAACATAACCTCTATGGAGGTCGAATTTTCATCGCGGAAACATAAACACACACCTCTACCCGTGACAGCGGCCGGCGCGCGACTGCCGCCGGCCCGTCGGTCGTCGACTCGCGACAACGACCGAGGGCGCCCGAACTTCGACGATCGCCTTAGCAGCCACGTGCTTATAGGCCAATAACGTTTGGCGCGACCCACGTGTTCGCCCGAGAACCATGTGCGAGAGATCAGCGCACGCCTTGCCATTCCGAGCGTTTCACTATTCGGAGCTATACTCGATAGCCTACGGAGCTATTCAGAATGGTTTCCGATCGGAATAATTCCGTTTTCTTTAGAAAACACAGTGGGACTCTGGCGAATAGCGGAACGATCCCGACCGGAAACCTTCTCGAATAGTTTCATAATGCTTGCTTGTTGTTTCGGCTTCGTCTATGCACAGGCGATTTTCTTTTTTATCCTTTTTCATCTTCATTTTTCGTACTTTTATATTTCTATTTTCACTTCTCATATCCTTCTTTTGTATAATATTCGCTCTATATTAACACGTTGATTATCACACTGATTTTTATTGATTATCGCAATGCTGAATTCAAGCTTGAATCAGTAAAGATGCCGTAAATTAATATAAATTACGGTAAATCGATACCGGAAAAATGCATATATCCGTCAACTCGTTTCAATGACTCTCTATCGGTTATATGATTTATTTATTATAACTAATTGATTATTTTTTTGAGTAAGATTTCAAATGGTAATAACGAATTGTTGGTTGAAGCAGATTACATGACTTCAGATTATATAATTTCAATAATATAACAATCTGATAAAATTATCGCATTTTTACCGTTGTCATCAATATCATTCTATGATATAATAGATAAAAAATCATTTTATTTTGACGCATTATTTTTCTTATTTGATGTGAGCTACGGTGTTGCACTCTGGGGAAAAACGAGAATATTGGAAGCTGTTACATTGAGTTCTACGAGACACTACCTATTTTAGTAGCTCTTTCATGTTTCTTATGCACAGCAACACACGTCGTAAACTTAAAGGACTTTTATAGCCATTTTACTAGGGACAAACGACGATCGTTGCATCGCTTCGTAAATTCCTTCGTATTATAAATTTTACATTCGTAAACATGTTATTTACTTCATACTCATATATATGATATTTAAAAAGAAGAGTATCAATAGCAGTAATTTTCATAAATATATTTTTCAATAACAAAAACATTTGTTTACAAATTATTTGTTGAATTAAAAAAGAAAGATCCATGTACGTAACAAAACTTAAAAAAATATAAGCGATTAAATTTATAATTTTTTATTGTCGCGTGTAAAATATTTAGTCCTTCCTATTAAGGAAATTTCGCAAAGATTGCTTCTAGCGTATTATTTGAATGAGATCCAGAAACCAAATCGATGACACTTTGTCATTCTTCCTTTGACCAGTGCGTTTAGTTTTATTCATTTAATCAGGTTTGACAAACATATCGACGTAAATCTTACGTGACTTGATAGAAAACGTCAGGCGAGCAGTATGTGTAGTATGTCTCTTTTGTCAGGTAATGTGAGAAAAAATGTCCAAATATGCAAATGATGGAAATGGAGTAGCAACAGGTTTCACGACGGTTATAGCAGATCGCGAGTTAGTCGAGACACAAACCTCGGTGATGGATTGAAATCGAGTTTCCAAGTGGTTACGTTGAGTGTAGTCGAACATGGCGCGATAGTTGGTTACGTACCCGGAGGATGGCGGTACGCTCAATGTAGCTGTAATACTGTTTTTTCGTCCTTAAAATATTATACGGAGCTTATTGGCTTTAAAAAATACGCAAAAAATTCTGGAATACCGTCATTGAGTTCTCAACTATCGAGATTTTTATAATTGTCCTATGAAACGGAGTTTCAATAAGTACAAATCTACTTCGAACGTACCTTGTCAGGCGAAAAGACGTAAAATTCAATTAAATTTTATATTAATAAATATAATTCGACACACACACAGACGTTCATGCGATGGAGAAGAATTTCATTTAATACGAGCAGTACGTTTTCTCCGAAGAATCCATTTCCGACCAGCACACGGCGTTCCTAACTCGTTCGTCATCGATTTCGCGCTGATCGTGGCCGGCGAGGGCGAACTTTCAGCCGCACAAATTAAAACCATTACTAATGGCGCCGAGCCCGGCAGGAAAGCCACCCTTATCCCGAGAAATAATTCCTCGGTGCACTCGCATCGACAGCGGCGAGAATTGCACTCCTCTGGACGCTACGGAGAACTTTGAGTGCGGTCAAACGCACTGACAGTGAAAAACACCCGTGACCCGCCAGACACGCAGAGAATGGTGAGAGGAATTTATTATCGTCAGACATGACGGCCGTCTCTCAAGCTGAGAATTTCAACCCCTTCTTACATTCGCACATGCGTGGATATAGAAAAAAAACTCATATTATTGCTGTTATGAATTTATCGCGATAAATCGGAGAAGAAAAAAACACGAGAATATTTTTATCTGATATCAAAGGAAGGATAGAAAAATTTAACAATTAATTTCGGAGTTTTAATATTCACATTTGCAGGACGCACGCATTTCTCTTTCGCATTTTGTCAGGTCCGCCGTCAGTGGAATTTTATATCCTTTATATTTTTGGTATATTAAATTTTCCAAGAAATTTTTGTACTTTTAGTTTACTTTGTGCAGGTTTCCGCATTCCAGAGACCACGAACTTTTACCTACGGAGATTTACGAACCTTACATTGTCGAACTTTTCTATTCGATTTTACCGCCGATGTAACGAAAAGCGTACGTTGTACTTTAACGAAAAACGTATATTTTTACAAAAAATGTCTTAACTTAGTTTATACTTTATACGAATATAGTTTACTGTACTTTATAAATAATATTTATTTTATGATAATCAATTACTGCTCTCCTCCCTTTATATATCTCTTTCTCTGAATCTTTTAAAGAGGGATGAATACATTGAGTGTGACGAAGGGATGTGTGGAAATGAGAGAGACAAAGAAACAGAGAGAGAGAGAGAGAGAGAGGAGAATGGGTGTGACTGAATTTCACGAGGGGAAAAACCGCGAGAGATTGTCGAACAGAGACGTTCTTTGGAATGTCGTGCGATCCCACCGCGCTTTCGTGCAAGAAGACTTTTGGACGGCATCCAAAGGCTACAGATTTATCGTCGTGAAACATAATGGTACCATTGTATACGGCCGAGCGGTCGCGATGCTATCATTGCCGGTATGCAATTCTAAAATTGATGATTGAGGTCATCGCGCATAGTCAACTAATACGAGATGAAAATTTATGAAAATTTATGTTAAACATAAATGCTATGGTATCAGCAATATCAGTGCTATACACGTCTATATAACACAAATTATACGCAAACCGTGGAACTTCGACCGCTTAGATAAATCATATTAAACGTTATTGAAGATAAAGCTATAAAAGAAAATTTAGAGGCGTGTAATATAGAGTACTTCTAAACATTTAAATTACACATAAATTTCCCCGTCTATATATTTTTCAATGCTTCTCCTAATGTAAATCGAATTTTTGCCCGGTCGTTTCAACCACCCGTCTAAGTCACGCTTGATCATTATCCTAATCTTGATGAAATCTTGATTAATGCAATTTACAGATCAAACAATGCCGTATTTACGATTGTGGATAACATCGACGATACTCTGTGCAAACTTGATACGGTGCCTCTTCGTTAAGCACCTGCCCCTTATCGCGACTGGGAATACAAGGGTTACCTGCAATGTTCCTTAGGAACGGTCATGAGATTTATCGGCCACCCCGTAATAGGCTATGCCCTTGGTATTGTTTTATCGTTATCTTTAAATTGGTTTAGATTACCGTTGCGTTTTGCGAGCTGGCAATTGCATAAAGGCAGTTGCCTACGACAACTGATAATGGTAATAATAGCAGTAATCGCGTATAACTGCCGCCATTAAACGATAAGTGGCCGGTTAAATAGCAGTTAAACGCAAGCGATTAGCCCCACTAATGCTAAAAACAAACATGATGCTCCATTGTCTGTTTTATCTGCTGATTCACCCAAACGTGTATTTTCTTCGGCTTAATTACACACCCGCGACGATGATTGGCACATTATGCTTTATCGCTCGCTCGATGAATAATGACGTAACGCTGAATAATGGGATATTACGCTTTGTCGCATGTTTCCGAGCCATGTATTTGCTGAACAAACAGGTGACTCTCTCTCTCTCTCTCTCTCTCTCTCTCTCTCTCTCTCTCTCTCTCTCTCTCTCTCTCTCTCTCTCTCTCTCTCTCTCTCTTATATATATCTTTCTCTTATATATATATATATATATATTTCACCTTTAATTAAATGTCAATTAAAGTTTCGCGTCGCATTCATCTCTCAAAAACATTTCATTACAGAAATGATCCGTACGAGCTCACGTCGCTAATTTTTTTTAACCGATCATAAATTGTCCGAGAAGCGATGCCGCGCGGGATATAAAAGTCAAGTTTAAAATTGATAACTGTTTGATAATAGCTTTGGATAGCGCGATTTGTATGCGAGAAACAGATTACGCGGATGGTAGGGAGACGGGCACGCTCCTAATGAGAATAGATGAGAAACCGATGGTTAACCTCCCGAGATCGATAAGATGAAGGTAAAATGATCGGATTCGCGGGACGAGTGAAATTATGAAAAATGTCTAATGAATTTTGTTGACGTCAGTCTTCTTATGTAAATCAATGTATATATGCACATTTATATTTCCTTAAATTCACTTACATTTCCTTACAAATAATTACTTGTAAAATGTCAATTGCAACGATAATTTCTTCACGTCTTTGCATGACTGGGAAATAAATCGATAAATAGAACATTCTAAAAATGTCAATAACTGTTACATATAGTCAATAAAAGCGTTGTGGTGACCATACTGCTGTATTTTCTTCTACGTAACTTCGATAATTTAACAGGTTGAGCTTTGATGTATTTCCGCTTAGTTGCAACTGCAATGTTATTATTCGTCACGTCAATGCGTAACGTTGTATTTTGGCAGA